AAATAAACTTGCAAAAAAACTTCTGGTATAAGTGATAAGACATAGCAGAGAGATATTCTCACAACATAGGGTGTCTATGCATGATCGGATATATTGGAATTTCTAGGAGGGACGTTGTAACTGACTTGAAATAATCAAGAGGTATCAAATGCAGTACAGTTGTCGCGAACACTTACTTCGCTCAAGTTTACGCAGGTCAAGAGCTCTTGCTTTTGGCTTGCTGAGTGCCTTGGTAAGTTCCTGGCTGCGCTCCACCTTCTTTAACGACATCAGTTTTCTGAAGGGACTTTCTAAAATTGCAGATTTCCTCGATTAAAAAGCAGCAGTTTAGGTGGCGGTGTTTTCAATTGTAACAAGACTGGCTACTGAAAACTTGTACAGTAGAATGCATTTTTGGTACCTGGCTCCACATGTTTCAAATCGGGTCGATAATCCGGTTGGGGTTCCACGTACAGATTACAGGACGCAGATGCTTCGCCCATCTTGTTTTTGGCAACGACAGTGACCTGAAATTCTCCGGGAGGACCGCATCTATTGAGCTCCAGGTAGCTAATTCCACCATCGGCATAAATACGCCAAGCACCTCCACCGCCACTCTGTAAAAGGAAAAAAAGCTATGCTGTAGATTCATGTTACAATGATTCATTCTCTGTCTTAAGTAGTCGGAACAAAAACCCAAAATCTGGGGGGGAGTGGTGAGTGTTTCCCGCGACAACTTACCGTTGGCAGAACGTCACCGTTGATAAACCACTGAACGCGTGGTGGCGGGACACCCCCGGCCTTCACCAAAAGTCTCACAGGAGATCCCTCGATGGCCGTTGTCTCCTGTGGTGAGACTTCGAATGTCGGCGCAGATGGCACTTCCTCCGTCTCCTGATAACGCGTGTCGTACCTACAAGCAGGATTACAAACTTTAACACGTTTGTCGTTTACTTGGCTCTATTAGGCAGTTAGGGGTAACTTGAGGACAGACACGTTTGGTAGACCTTTTGCATATATAAACGCAAAATGAACTCGCAAGACTACTTCATTAAAAAATCGCTGGTGTATGTAACAGTTTGATCATGATGGCATCCACCAGACGTCCTGAAACATGTTGGACGTTTGACAATATCCTGAGTGTGAAGTAGGTTAGAGGGAGACGGATTTGCGCTGCCTCTCCTACTCTCTCCCTCTCTTTCCTCGCGACTGAACTTCCTGCGATGACAAGAAAATTTCAAGACGACCGGATTTAGGTCTGGGTGCGGGCCTGACACACCTAAAAAAAACTTTCTCGCGAGCCACACACAACCGGGAGACAATCCAGACTTCACGGCTTTCAGGATGGCGGATTTGATCTCGTGTAGGTGGGACTATCGTAAATGGCACAGTGCTGGCCATACCTGTGCGGGCTTTTGAACCGCTATTTTCTTCTGCGCTTCATTCGCATGTAAATATACCCCGCCCATAATGAACCGATTTTTACCCTTCTTTGGTTATTCGAACTACGAGAACCAAGAGATCTACGCTAACAAAGTTTTGAAGATATGCCCTTTTGGATTGCCTTAGTTCCGTAAATATTCCCTTGGTTAATCTTAAAAGTCCATTTATTGCAAACAATTGTTTTTTAGTATTTTACGGTCGATATGTGGATGACATCTTCTGTGTGACAGACCACAACACTGACACTGAAGCCATAGTCAGGAAGTTCAACAGCGCGCACCCATCGCTCAAGTTTTCTGCAGAGACTGAGGCTGATAATGAAATTGCATTCCTTGATGTCGTTCTGCGAAGGCAAAATGATGGATCGATTCTGCGTAGGGTATTCCGAAAGAAAA